CACCCCGACATCCCGCTGGGCACAAAGAGCACATCCTGTTTTAAAAGACAATTGCTATAGGCCCAGCGTGTGTCAGAACAGTAGAACAAGAACTCTTCAAAACAACTAACTTGGTTTTAATGTATTGTCGAAGACTTTCATGGCTGGAATCACTGGGTTGTTGTAGGTTTTTCGGGTTATATGGGCATGTTCTAGACGTATTCTCCCCTGACATTTCACTTGCATCTATGGCAAGCAACCTCAGTTGTTGTGAGGTTGTAACTTGGTTTTGACATGGAATTCATCCCTCACCATCAGATAGATGTACAGCATCATGGATTACAAGCTGCATAGCCATGGTGGGGACTGGGGGCTCCAAGGGATTGGCTGGCTTACACGCTGGTGTTTTCTATCCTGAGAATAGGATTGCTGCCTAAGAATGGGAGCATGAAAAAATGTAAACAGAATCTTGTCTGGGCTGTTGTGAGTTTTCTAGGCTGTACGGCCATGTTCCACAAGCATTCTCTCCTGATGTTTTGCCTGCATCTATGGCAGGCATCCTCAGAGGTTGTGAGGTCTGTTGGAAACTAGGAAAATGGGGCTTATATATCTGTGGAATATCCAGGGTGGGAGAAAGAACTCTTGTCTGTTGGATGTAGGAATGTTTCAATTGACCACCTTGATCAGAATTTAATGGCCTAGCAGTTTCAAGGTCTGGCTTCTTACTGCCTGGGGGAATCATTTGTTGGAAGGTGATTAGCGGACCTTGATTGTTTCTTGTCTGGAATTCCCATGTTTTGGAGTGTTGTTGTCTCTTCTTCCCTCTGTGTTATTCCTTTGTGCTTTACTTTATCTTGTTCACCCTCACATTTACAAAAAGCAGCAGACAAAAATGAAATGCCATGACTATTAGACAGAAGCAAGGCTTGGCGCTGACTGGATGGACTAGAGCCGATGAAAATAAAATAACCTTTATTAAGTTTCTAGAGTGCAAATATTCATATCAGAGAAACAATCAAAATGGTTCTTCCTTGACAAAAAAAATTGTCTTTAAAATCAGCTTATCTGGAATATTTTTGCGATTGTAAGTGCAGGTTTAGCATGTTTGCAATGTGATCTAATTAGGTTTTATGTTCTCATGATTTTTTTTAAAAAAACTCCAATTATAACCTGGGTTATATTATTATTTTCTTTCTAAATATCACTGCAGGGTGAGGTCTGGTTAGTACTCGGACTGGGGGCACCAGTAAATGTTAGCTAGTCTAAGTTACATTTCAGAGGAAATTAATGGCAAATCACCTCTAAGTGTTTGTTTTTTACCTAAAAATTCCAAAGGGTTGCCAAAATTTAGCAGGTAACTTAAGCAATATATGTGCACACACACACATTCTCAAAATAGGGCTTAAGAATGTCCCATAAACATAGGAATGATGGGATAGATTAATCTGGTTACATCTCTGCTGTTGGCAAAGCAAGTTATTTCAATAAATCAATTAGATAATGATAATTTTATTGATCTAAACAGCTTTTGTAGATTCCAGACACTCAATAATGAGGAGAACAAATGAATGTAATTTCTCTGTATATGAGGTACATACCCAGGAGTCAGTGTAGTTTAGTGGGCTGAGCAATGAACCGGGACTGTAGAGAAGAGGGTTTGAATCCCCACCCAGCAATGGAAATCCACTGGGCAATTCTGGTCACACACTCTCAACCTTAGAGAAACACAAGGGCAATGCCTCTCTGAACAGATTGTACCAGGGAAACCATGTGATAGATTCACCTTGGGGCCGACATCAGTCAGAATTGACTTGAAAGCTCCCAAGAATACCAAGGAGCTCTCTAATAAACCAAGAGTTCCTCCAGTATTGTCATACACAAGGATTTTGCTCTGAACATTTTGTTCCCATCTCTTACTTTGATTGCTTCATGTGCTTTTAAAATAGCAAGGGCTCCTAATGTGAAGAGGGAAACAGACCTTTTTACATAGCCAAAAGACCAGCTTGTGAGCTTAACATGTCTCTCCAAATCTCCCCTGATAGGCACAATTCACTTTTTGTGTCCTCAAATGTTTGTACAGCATAGCTATGAGCTGTTTTTAAAAAACAAGAACTGTCCTTCTTTGCAGTAGTTCTGTAATGGACGATGAAGTCACTCTCATTTCTGCATACAGCCTGGTTTTTAAAAAGCGATTTACGGTCTTTTAAAATAAGAGATGCATTTGACTTTTCAATTCACCTTGTAGGTAGTGTTATTATTCTCATTAGTGTTGAAGGGCCACTGGTGCAAACAATAACAGAAAACGAATGAAACTGGCAAGGCCATTCCTGAGTATTCCTTGCCTAAAAAAACCTCATTGAGTCAACAGGCAACTTGAAAGCACATACACACACAATAGAAGGCAGTGTAGTATAAGAGTGTTACGCTATATAGAAGTAAGTCAAACATTGTGCATGTGAGATTTGCTGCTAAGTAACTGCAGTGTTTAGACTGCACTATGAACCAGGACATCTTTGGTTCAAAACAGATTTCTTTTCTACCACAACCTCACCATCTGCAGTGTCATTCCTCGTATTAATCAGTTGAAGTGGATGTGCTGAAAACAAAAATAGCTGCATAAAGAAATTGTTCCTTATAGCAAGAAGGGACCCACAAGGTATGCAGAAAAAGCCCTTTGTTGGACAGAGTATTCATTCAGTTTATCCTTGAACTCCAGCCATATATATTAAAGTACCATTCACATACTTGGTGTGTTCCAGGTATGTTGGAGCAATTCATTGGAAGGCACTAGGCTGAAGAAAGATTTTTCAAGTCGGAGTGAGGGCTGTTGTAGGTTATAAATGTAAATAAAGAGAAGCTTTACCACTGTTTCTGAACCAAAATATACTCTGCAGTATAATAATGTGTCACTCAGATTGGTGTAACGAGTAACAGTAACTTTACTTCAGTTCAAAAGGTCAAACAGAGTAACAATATATACAGCAGTCTCTCTGAATTCTTACAGAGAACCGAGGGAATAAACAGTCCCTTTAAACAGTTTTTAAAATATGCTTCATGTCTTAGAAATGATCAGGCTTCAGAGAGTTGGCAGCCATATCGTTCCTGGTTGTTTCCAGTCAGCACTCTCTTCACTCTCTGAGGTGAAAAACAGCAGTTAAAACTGTTTCTCTCAGCAGCAAGCTAAAATAGCCAATCAGAATTCTGGTTCCTGGCATGCTCAGCCGCCGACACATGACTTTCCAGTCAACCCATTACATCATGGTGCCATTTTACAAATGCCAACAAGGGCTGATGAATTAAACTGTAAGGTAGAATTCTATACTGGTTGCTGACCATATATATATATATATATATATATATATATATATATACACACACACACACAAATCCACATTTCTGAAAATGTACAGAGAGATAAACAGAGTTTGAAAGTGTTGGAGACCTCCAATGAAACGATCAAGCTAACTTGGTAGCGGGAATATTTTGTGATGTGGATCAGTATAGATTACTGAGATAATAATTTGGAAAGAATGGTATCCTGACCTTGTCAGCACATGAATTAGCAGGGGTATAGCCTCTAAACATGATGTAGGGAAGAAATTGATGGGTGTCCAGCAAGAAGGGAAGATTAGGACACACGATACAAGAGATAGCTATTGCAGAAATAGGGAAATGTGAGTTAGTTAACACAACAAGCTGATGCAATATATATTGGAGCAATACAAGCCAGACAATAACTGTAGGCCGTGCATTAGTGTATTTCCTGGTACTTTCTTTGAAGCTCCGATTTTCTAAACATTTATCACCTGGACGACCTTGTCCTGGCAGGGCACTATGTCTTCTAATGATGATTTCTACCTGGTTTTATTTCCATCTTGAAATTCTGGGCTCTGTGACAAGGAAAAAGAGCAAGTGTAGAGGCTGTGTGTGTGTGTACCCATACCCATATCCATGACCCTTGATTTAGCAGAATCTTTCAAAATGGAATTTCCTTCACAGTTACCCAATTAGGGAGAGCCCTACACTCTTTTTATCCCAGCATGTACTGTGATCCATGGGAAGCTCTTTCTCCAGTGGAAACTGGCTCTATCTCTGAACCTGGGAGGCAGTAGCAAATCCTGATCATGAACCTGAATGGGAGTATTATAGATTTGTGTGTGCTGTAGGGCCTGTGGAGGTGTTTCTTGTCTAGATGCACAGCAAAACCAACAATAGATAAACACAGGGAACATAGGTGGTAAACAAAGGAGCAAAAATTTAGCATTTTGGTAAGTGAATGACATTTAAACAGTTTGCCTGTAATACCATTTAGCAATAAATGGAATCTTTTAAGATGTCTTAGACAGTGGGTGTGAGCAAGCAAAATGAATGAATCCTTTAAAACAGTGGAGCAAAGAAAAAAAGAAATAGTCAAAGTAGATGTGAAAAAAGAAGATCGCTGATTAGATCTTGTAGCCTCCTGTGGCTTTATTAAAAGCAGCTGCATTTGAGGGACTGTGGGCTCTAGGAACTGACAGAAATCTAAAAAGGCGAACTTCTTTGCACAACATATTTTATAGTATCTAAAAAGGTTTGCAGATGTTTATGAAGTGATTTGAAGAATGTTTTACAGCACAATAGGATTCCTAAAGGAGAAGAGAAAACAAACACATTATGTTTTCCCTCTTTTCCAGTAAGTTCTTTTTTTTAAGTTGTTTTTATTTAGAATATGTTGCTCCTCGAGATTAGAGCAGAAAGAAATAAAAATAAAAGATTACTGGTTTTCCCCTTAATTACATAGAAAGAGTGAGAACAATGGATTATAGTAAAGTAGGAAGAAAATAGATAAAGAAAATGAAAAATGAAAAAAAGAAAGAAAAAAATGAATGGGTGAGGTGAGTAAGGTACTTCCAGGGTCCTCCTGGCTAGAAAAGTTATCATAATTTTACTTGTCTTCGTGTAGTTAATCGTCGGTTTCTTGGTGGTAATCCTTCAAGTTTCGTTCAAAAGTTCCAATATAGATTTCTTTATTTTCTTTCCAGTAAGTTCTTGACCCGTGAAGATAAGGAGAGCATTTTCACCATGGACCACTTCCCCCTTTGGTACCGTCGAGCAGCTGAACATCCACCAGGAAGCTTTGTTTACAGCATTTCTTTTGAAGGAATTTCAGGTACATAATCTCTTTTAACACAGTAAAAAACAATTTTTCACCACTATTTCAATCCCACAGTTCTCTATGTGTATAGTCGTCTTCTTCTTCTTCTTCTTCTTCTTCTTCTTGTATTGGTAAACATTGTTATCATGGGTTGTTGTAGGTTTTTTCGGGCTATATGGCCATGTTCTAGAGGCATTTTCTCCTGACGTTTCGCCTGCATCTATGGCAAGCATCCTCAGAGGTAGTGAGGTCTGTTGGAACTAGGAAAAAGGTTTTATATATCTGTGGAATGACCAGGGTGGGACAAAGGACTTTTGTCTGCTGGAGCTAGGTGTGAATGTTTCAACTGACCACCTTGATTGACTGAAACATTCAACCTAGCTCCAGCAGGCAAAAGTCCTTTGTCCCACCCTGGTCATTCCACAGATATATAAACCCTTTTTCCTAGTTCCAAGAGACCTCACTACCTCTGAGGATGCTTGCCATAGATGCAGGCGAAATGTCAGGAGAGAATGCCTCTAGAACATGGCCCTATAGCCTGAAAAAACCTACCACAACCCAGTGATTCCGGCCATGAAAGCCTTCGACAATACATTACTTAAATGGATGGAAGTGCCATATGTTTTGTCACCACTGGTACTTTTGTGCCTCCCCATCTTCTGCCTACAGGAAAATTATTGGGCCATGGGTGAGGCATTGGAATTGGTGGAGACTGAAGCCAGCAGCTCAAATATTCATGAGAGTTGTGTTTGTACTTGGAGTGGATGCAAAAGACTTGAGCTCCTTTTTGAGTGGATAGTTGTGCTATTCTCATTGAATATACTTTTTGTGCATATAAGTTTTTGTGCATCAGAATTGTGCCTGCTGTCTTGTGTATACTTGTCTGTGCAATGACCTATATATGTAGGGTGGAACATTTTCTATGCATCACAATCACAACAAAGAGGCACAGATTTATCCTCAGATACCCTACACATGTTAGGTTGGATTTTCAGAGGTATCAGAGAAGACAAGATTTTTTTGAACCTCATGAAATGCAGGCATGGTGAAGGTCCAGGGATTATAATCCTATCCTCAATCGAACAATTTTGCCTGAAAGTCATCTTACTCTTCAAGATATTAGTATTCTGGATGGAGGATTGAAACTGTGAAGACAGAAGAGAGTGGTGGGCAGACCTATTAATCACTGCAATTACTTGGCAACAGGTGGTATGTTGCATAGATGATATCTTAGTGCCTTTGAAGATAAGAATATGTTTTTCATAGTTTTAGTGTACATTTCAGCTTTTCTGCTAAAAGAAAACTGCTATGGCACCATCAGATTTCAACCTTTGCCATAGCAGCGTAGTAATGTCGGTTTTGCTCACCATGAAAAATGACACAGTGAAGGGTACATCAAAGCAGCCAAAATTAGCCCTACGCAGAGGTGCTTTGGGGGCAATTTGTGCCATATGCTTCCATTAATCAAGCAGTAGGTGTGACAAAATTCCACTAAAGTAATGGATGGATTGTGAGGCAAGCATGCTCAGGTTTGAAAAGAAGAATTGCACATGTCTTTCTATCAGTCACTTAACAATTTGACATGTGTTTACCCCCAAGGTTGTACATGTCAGGTAATCATTAGAAACCCTTTTATTCTCTCTCCCCAAGTCTGCAGCTAGTTTTCAGTGGATGAAAATGCCTGTGATTGAATTGCGGGAGGGGAGGGGGGGGGGGTATCAGTAACGTCAGTTTTTTAACCAGCCTTAGTATTTCAATGAAAAGTCTTGGAGTTCATAGCTTCAGGAATTGAAAGAAGAGATTGTGTTGTTAAATGAGCAACAACAGCAACCAAAGAATAAACGGGGGATCTAGTTTGATGTCTGGAAACTACATGGCTGTTTAAAATTACTTTGAAATGCTTATCTCTGGTCTCTTGCTCAACCCTTCGGTGCTTTGGCTCTGTCGTCTCAAAGCACAATGCTTTAGCTGTAAGGCTTTTTTTGGCATAATAGTGGGAGAGAGGAGAAATCAGCCGCAAGGAAGGCAAGATTTAGTGGGGAGGGTGAGGAAGAACATGGACCAGGCTGTAGAAATGTGTGTACATATGCATATACATATATACGTGCATTTTGAGACAAAGCCCCCATACTCTGCTTTCCTTGATAGAAATAAGAAGTAAGATAAACAAGTACTATTTAGTGACACAAACAGAATGGTTCACTGCTACTTTAATACCAAGCTGGTGACCATGTGTTTGTTGAATACGTATTAATCTGGGCACTAAGTGAGGTCTATCTAAAGTCAAACATACGTGCATTTTTTAGAACTGTGGTTCTCAACCTGTGGGCCCCCAGGTGTTTTGGCCTCCAATTCCCAGAAATCCCAACCGGTTTACCAGCTGTTAGGATTTCTGGGAGTTGAAGGCCAAAACATCTGGAGACCCACAGATTAAGAACCTCTGCTTTAGAAAAAGTGAGAATCACTACAGATAAATTAACTCTTTGGTCCCATTTCATAATTCCCCTGCTTTATATAAAATATTATCTTGAAACAATAAATTACGGGGAAAAAACCCTCCCAGATAATTGGAGGCATATCCAAAGAACACCTATTAATATTAATATTCGGTGTGAAAATTAAATGCATCTGAGGATGAATTTATGAAAGCCAGAAAAGAATATGAGTAGAGATTGGCAACAGTGGGAGATTATGTATGCATGTATCTGTCAAAAGGACTTTCCAGGTTTTTATGCATTTCAATTCAGCCTGCAAAGCATGCTTAGCCAGATTTGATAGAGAGAACAAAAAAACAAACAAAATATTAGTAAACTGTAGAGGTTTTGCTTGCATTTCTTTACACTGTCTTGAAAACTGTCTGTTTCTAACCAGAGTATGAAGGTTGTTTTCAACTACTCTTCAGTTAGGCCATGGACATACATTAGAATATATATTTACAGGGCAGGGTATGGTAGGGAAATGTCATGTTATTCTTGTTATGTATTTTCTCCTGGGGATATAATATGTAAAAGGTTAAAGTCCAGAAGCTGGAATTAGCAACATGGCCAGTGAATGAACTTAAATCTCATATTTCCTATGCTTTCTGTTGTTTCTATATGTATAACTCACCAGAACATCACATGGCATCTGCTGGAGGCTTTTGGTGTCCTTTGCCTGTCCCTAAAATTGCACATAGGACTGAGTCAGGGAGGGAGAGAGGATTTTTGAATGCTACAAGGACAATGTTGAGGCATATAAATCTAACTGGAATGAAAGTCCTTGAAATGAGTATATTCTCCCTTAGGTCTGTGTAATGCCCTTCCACAAATCAACTTAATTTTGGATTTTTTTAAAAAAAAATAATGTACAAGTCCTTGAGTTGAAGCAGGATGCAGCTGCAAAGTCATGTTCAGGACACATGGGGTGATCAAGACGAGAATGAAATGAAATGACAAGTGATGGAATTGTGAAGAAAGAAAAAGGAATCCCCTCATGTCGAGACAGGACATTTTGTAAAGCACTACTCCGGGGAAGAATAGAAATAAGAAAAACGCATGTTCAGAAACTGTGACCTGGAGAAGGTTCTTGTTCTCACAGGAAACAGAACAGTTGCAGAGCACAATGAAATATAAACAAATTATCCTACACTTATTCTTTTCCTCCCAAACAGCAGAATTAGGAGATGATCCTTTTCATCAACTTCGGACTGTATTTGGGTGCTGATATGCCTGAACCCACCTTTGTACTTTTTTTTGCCCCCGGTGGTGCAATGGGTTAAATCCTTGTGCTGGCAGGACTGGTGACCGAAAGGTTGGTGGTTCCAATGCGGGGAGCAGGTTGAGCTCTTGTCTGTCAGCTCCAGATTCTCATGCAGGGACATGAGAGAAGCCTCCCACTGGATGGTAAAACATCCAGGCGTCCCCTAGGCAACATCCTTGCAGACAATTCTCACACCAAAACCTTTGTACTACAGTGACAACATCTTGCACTTAGAAGAGTAGATGCCAAGGAGTTCAAGTTCAGTCTTTTCCTTGATAGTTTTGTGTTGGGTGGATTTGAAGTATACAAAAGCACATCCAGTCATTGAGCCCCAACCTGCAACCTCAATTTTTTTTCCCCAGATTCAAACTAGCAACTTTTCAGTCAGCAGTCCTGCCGGTACAAGAGTTTAACCCATATAGCAGAGTTTCAAAAGTGTTCTTTCAGTAGCCTCCCTTACAAGATCAAGAGACAAAATAAGTAGACTTCTTAAAAATTGAAGAAGAAATGAACTTTTAAAGTTGTTTTACTCACAAACTTCATGCATTCAGCATACAGGTATATTGCATATCAATCCAGTTACAGATAGAATTTGAAGTAGTTTCTCTGTGTAGAGAACACAGGGCAACTTTCTTATAATCAACAGTCCATAGTCTAAAGCAGGGGTCCTCAAACTAAGGCCCGGGGGCTGGATGCGGCCCTCCAAGGTCATTTACCTGGCCCTCACTCAGGGTCAACCTAAGTCTGAAACAAGTTGCAAGCACACAACAGCAACAACAACAACGACAATGTGTAGGCATCAAATTGTGCCTTTTGTAAGCCGCCCTGAGTCTCCCCTCGGGGGTTGAGAAGAGCAGGGTAGAAATGCATGACATAAATAAATAAATAAAATAAACAACAATAACAACAATCCTATCTCATCAGCCAAAAGCAGGCCCATTGAAATACAAATAAGTTTATATTTGTTAAAATTGTTTTTCATTTTAATTATTGTATTGTTTTTACGTGGTTTTTGCACTACAAATAAGATATGTCCAGTGTGCATAGGAATTCGTGTTTGTTTGTTTGTTTGTTTGTTTTTTCAAATTATACTCCGGCCCTCCAACAGTTTGAGGGATTGCAACCTGGCCCTCTGTTTAAAAAGTTTGAGGACCTCTGGTCTAAAGCATCGCTCTGTTCTGAAAGTCTAATAGAGTCTCTGTCTTCTAAAGCATTCTGTTTCTACTGACTTCTAAACTGTACTGTTTCTAAAATGGAATCTGAGTCCTGAACAGTCCCAGATCTGATCGCATGGTTTGCAGCCTCTCCCACAACATAGAGTTAAGGAAAACTGCAAACCAACACACGCATATACAATACAGTAAGCATTTATATTTATAACAAATAACTAGTGGAGGCTTGAAGATTGCTATTTCCAACATAAGATCCTGGGGTGAGGGCTTTCTCTCAACCTCACCACCATCAAAGATCTCTCTGGTGAAGATACAGGAAGGAGCATTTTCAGTGATTGTGGAGAGTCTTTTTACATATGCGTGCTGTATTTTTACTTTAAAATTATTTTGCACTTTTTAATATTAATGGCATTTTAATATAACATAATTCTTAATTGTGTTTTAACTTTTTATCATTAGACTCTTAGCTTTATATTGATTTAATCTTGTGGTTAGCTATGGTGGGTCCCATATCAGGTGAAAGGTGGAACATAAAGAAAATACATGTTTGAATTTTCAATACTGGAAGTATTGGGTGTATGAGAAATAGATATATGCCCAGTGACACTTGTCCTAATTTTGGACAGCAGCCCTTTTTGAAAATTGAACAAGCATGAGCTTCAAGACATTTACACAGACCATACATGACAGTTGCCTTAGTCATGTTTAAGAGCAGTTTGGGCAACACAAGCAGAAGGGGGAAAGTAAGTATTAACATGGAGCATCCTTAACTAAATTCCATAAAAGCTGCAGGCAGTTCTGTGGTTGTCCCTAGCAACCAGTTAGGCTTACCTGCATCCCTTCCAGCTAAAGCCTATGGTATTTATTTCTGTGAAATTTCATTAATAACAATAGTTGAAACTCATAATAGTTCCCTGTTAAGGACATTTAGGGTCCCATTTCAGGGAATGGAATGGATGTCTGAAGCAGTACACACAGTGACTATTTCTCAGAAGCCTTCACAGGCAATTTTACATGAATGTAGAAAGAGAGATTTCAGCTGAGTCCTTTGGTTGTTGCCAGAGAAGATCGCTGTGCTTTTTCTTTAAAGTGAGAATTTTCTCAGCATTTACCATAAGTCATTAGAACTTTCTAACAAGAAAACCACAGATAGGGCTAGTTCTTTAATAAGGCAGGAGGGGTGCTGGTTTACTTTGGGAGATGTAATTGTATAAAAAATAACTATTACAGTAGAGTCTTGCTTATCCAGCCTCTGCTCATCCAACGTTCTGTATTATGCAATGCAGTCTGCCTCCCTCCCGGATCCAGAATTGTCTCAATACATTGCGATTCCTGACCAAACTCTGCATAAAATGTCCTCAGAAGCACTTTATTTTCCGGTCTGTGCAATTAAATCCTTCCTTATCCCCCAGATCCCCTGTCCTGATACATTATATTGCCCTATCACCCAGTGTTTTTTTTTTTAAACAATAATTTTAATTTTTGCATTTGGCCCTGCCCACTGTGATTATGCCAGTGTTTTAATGTTCTGATTTTATATTGTTGTGCTGTTTATTTATATTGGTTTTTGCATCTTTGTTGTTGTGTTGTTCATTCGTTCAGTGGTTTCCGACTCTTCATGACTTCATGGACCAGTCCATGCCAGACCTCCCTATCGGTTGTCACCAACCACAGCTCCTTCAAAGTCAATCCAGTCCCTTCAAGAATACCATCCATCCATCTGGCCCTTGGTCGGCCCTTCTTCCCTTTTCCTTCCATTTTCCCCAGCATCATTGTCTTCTCTAAGCTTTCCTGTCTTCTCATGATGTGGCCAAAGTACTTCATCTTGGCCTCTACTATTCTTCCCTCCAATGAGCAGTTGGGGTTTATTTCCTAAAGTATGGACTCATTGGATCTTCTGGCGGTCCAAGGCACTCTCTTTTGCTCTTTTGTATCTTATGTTATTTTATGTTCTTATTTTCTGTTGTGTTCTTGTGTTACATTGTTTTTCTGTATTGATGGGCGTGGCCTCATATAAGCCACCCTGAGTCCCCTTGGGGAGATGGTGGTGGGGTATATATAAAAATTTTATTATTATTATATTATTATTGGTGCTAAATTCATAAATACTACATAACATTACCGTGTATTGAACTGCTTTTTCTGTCAGTTTGTTGTAAAACATGATGTTTTGGTGCTTAATTTGTAAAATCATAATGTAATTTGACGTTTAGTAGGCTTTTCCTTAATCCCTCCTTATTATCCAACATTTTTGCTTAACCAACGTTCTACTGACATGTTTATGTTGAATAAATGAGAGACTACTGTACTACAAATTAAAAATCGAGTAATGCCCTTTAAGGGTGATATCACTGATAATTTAGACTCAGAACTGATAATTTTAGACCTAGTTTACCAACTCAAAGAGTAATGCTATGTCTATATCAAACGTGGGCCCTCCAGGTATTTTGGACTTTAACTGTTAGGAATGGTGGGAGTTGAAGTCCAAAATATCTGGAGGGCCCAAGTTTGCCCATGCCTAGTCTATACCAATTCCAGCTGTAGGAGAGTAAATGTGTGCATAGTTTCACATGGGAAACATCACTATATGTAGACAGTAGGAGAAACATCTGAGGCTAGCCACCTCCTTGACTTTTTTGTTCCTTGAATAGATACAGGATTTTTCTGGTGCAGTACCAGTCAACTGAATCATCACCAACAGTCTCGGAAAACACACCATCTATATTTGAGTTTGCCACCTCAGCTTCTGTCTGCGAGGATGAGGCCTCCGTCTTCCCTATATTTGAGCTCTGTGCTCAATTGTGAAAAGTGTTGGCAGTGTCACCATTCTGAAACCCACTTCCCTAAGGATATGGGCTCAGGTATTGAATGTGTTACATCTATTTCTTGACAGAAGGAGGTCTGCCCGAGGCGGTAACAGTGAGCACATCCGTGGCTGTGACTGTGGATGGAAAGACAGGAATCGCTGCAGGTAGGAGCTTGTTTCAATTCACTTGAGGCATCATGTTGGGGATATCATTTCATGCTAAAAGATGCCCCCCTTTAGCTTGAAATGATATCAAAACTAGTAAAAATTCATTTCAATTGACAAAAGGTCTCCAAAAATCGCAAAAAAAACCCTTCACAAACAAATTAGAATTGAGTTTGTGTAATTGTGCTCATATGTATAGTTTCAGTGACATGTTTCTTTCAGCAAATGAAACGTATGCTTTTTTCTGATTATTTTTACAAGTCCACCCTTCACCCTCCATGCTCCCAAATGAAAATGAAACTCCATGCTCCCAAATGAAAACTAACACCTATAGTGGGGAAAACATTGCTTAATTTTCATTGGGAAGTATGGAGTTCCCAGATGTGGCTGAAAAGGAGAAAGCGCTGGCTAAGAGTCTGGGATCTTTAACATCTCCAGAAAATATCATTTGCTTTTTCAGTGATTGATTCTCCTTTATTAAAAAAGCAATTTTCAGAATAAAAACTGAAACCTAAAACATTGAGTTAATTCTATTTTTATGTTTTTGAGCATTTAACCTGGTAGAGATTTTCTTCTGCTGAAATAAATACAGTGTGCAGTTTCTTTCACATGCAGCATGTAGTTTGCAGGCATCCAAAGATATGTTTTTGTTGTCTTCTCAGAGTGTCCCCCTCTTTGAAATCAAGTTGTAAAAGTAGGGTAGTGATTGGTGAGTCAACGCAAGGTAGGTATCAGGAAACAAGAAGAGACATTTCTTGGAAGAGCAGTGTATGAATAAAGCAAAAATAAACCCATTACAACAGTTGCTAAGGCTGACTTCAGACATTTCACAGTCCTAACAGCCAAATGCTTAGTCACTTACTTTTTTCTGGTTGTAGTTGTCTGTAACATCTAAAGAAGAACCCGAATAGGAGATATATAAAGGCAGGTGACATAATGTAGGTTTATGTGAATTTCAATGTACTATGAAGGAGATGAAAGGAGATGAAGAAAGGACTCTAGCAAGTCTTGCATCTGGCCTAGGACTGTGTTGGAAATGAGCTGGAAGGTGGTAGGGGCTGAAGTATCAGGATGGTCCACCTACCCTTTTTTATTCCAGCACTGTAGGAGCACATCTGGATTGGGTTAGTGCAGTGGTTCTCAGCCTTTGGGTCCCCAGGTGTTTTGGCCTGCAACTCCCAGAAATCCCAGCCAGTTACCAGCTCTTAGGATTTCTGGGAGTTGGAGGCCAAAACATCTGGGGACCCACAGATTGAGAACCACTGGGTTACTGTATGGGGGCATGACAGTTTGCTGAGTGGCAAGTTTTAGAATTTTTTTAAAAAAATGTTCATTATGCTTGCTGGAGTATATGTATATATTTAATATTAGTTCACCCAGGTGGGACTACCACCTGCTCTCCAGGCATGCCTTGAGATTAGTGATGAAGGGGTAGACTGAGTCCCTTGCTGTTGAAAGGAAAATAAATCTTTCTCTCTTTGGGTCCATCAACACTACCATCCCAGTTAAGAATCCTGCTGGTGAAGCCACTTGTTCAGAGTTCAGGACAAGGCACCCAGCCATATGATCCATGATGAGGGAATCGCTTGGGCTACCACCTCAATAGCCATTGCAAAGCTGGGGACCTCGTTCTGATCTCAGGCCAAGTAACTTTGGATGCAGGGCTATGGCAGGGATCATTTGGCCGGGAAGATAGCGGAAATATGTATGAGAAGGGAAAGTGAAATGCAAGGACAAAGGGCAGCTACCCACCAGGGACTGGTTTTTTCTCCCTGTGTGGCAGGGGGTCGAGAAGCTCCTTTTCATGAAGCCAAAGAGAGAAAGAAAATATTGCCTCCTCTCCCCATTTTTCTTGTCCTTCATTCTCCACCTTTTGTTCCTTTTCTGCCCATCATTCCTCAGCCTACCATAGTTTTGCACTTTGTCTATCTCCAGTTGTATTAGTCTTCAATGGAAATTGATCTAATGGGCAAAGGGAAATAATGTATATCAGGCATCCTCAAACTACCCTCCAGCTAGTTGGGCCTCCAATTCCCAGAAGCCCTAACAAGCTTGTCCAATTGTCAAGAATTCTGGGAGTTGAAGGCCCAAACAGCTGGAGGGCCGCAGTTTGATGATGCCTGATGTATATAATGAGGGCTGGTGCCACAGTGTTCATAGCTGCTGAAGAAAAAAAAGTAGCACAGATCTGAATTTGGGCAAGGGATATGCGTGCAATCAATGCAATTTCAGTAGAGTATACTATGAATAGGTGTAGTTCTAACGGGATGAATATGCGGCAACTCCAGGACAGAACTCGGGAGACGACCGCACATTGGAGCATTGTGTATTATAAATATTGATCTGTAGTACTCATATAAATATTATTTAAAATGCTGAATCAAACAGAAAAGATAAGCATTTCCCCTTTGCTACTTTGTACCTTGAATGTACTGAATTTTCTTTCCATAAATCTAATCCAGAGTTGTTTGGGGCCATGTCTAGAGCAAAACTATATGGTGGTAGCTTTGATTGCTGTGGCCTCTCCTGCACCTTTTCTAGTGATTTAAGAATTTCCTTGTGAATTAGGAACCCATTAGTTACTATACGATGCCTAACATCTTTTTGATCACTGTGCAAACATTAACTAAGACATCATTATTAATTATAGTTTAATTGAGGCTATTTTGTCTCAAGAGAGATAAGCCTGGAGCTTTTTTGCTAGCAAGATCCACTCTCTACATATGACAAATATGAAGTTGTATAATATCTGGAATTCCTAACCCCACTTCAACTAATGTTACTGGCTGTTCTCTCATGTGAATCAATAACCTGGGGCTTTATTCTTCACTGGGGAAAACTGCTGCAGTTACATTGCAGCTGATGACAGATTTAAAGTCCCAGTGAAACTGCTGGAATCTATGTGGGAGTTCTGCTGTTGCCTTGGTCTTTGTATATGATGTTTCTTTTTACTGGGTGACCTTCTCAAGTGAGTTATTTGCTTGGCATCTTATCATTATTCCAGGCATGTGCAAACTCTATGAGTGTGTGTCCATGCACTGTTTATTTTAAAGAGTTGCTTTTAGTTGCTGCTGCATATGGGAACAGGGTTTGTGGTTCATGTCCTTATAGATCAGCCCTCCGCAGAATACAGAATTTCCAGATATCAGGAGCATTTGGTTTTCTGTCTCCTCAAACCGTTTCTCTCTTTTCATCTAAGGGCCTTTTTTTTATCGCTCAGAAAATTGAAGGCAACGATCAGTGCAGTTATATGGGCAGAGAGAGGTTTTTTTCTTGAATAGCTGCCCTACATGGTACTTGGCCAACTATTTTTGAGTTTAGATCAATTTCAAAAGTAGTTTATGAGACAGAGCAAGAAAGTACTGCAGGGAAGAAAAATGAAAAAAACTTTCCATCCGCACCATGCATACTACTGCAGGCTCTGTGAAAGTCCACAAATGCAGAATATTCTCTGTTTCAAATTTAAAGGGATTGTGCCTGCACTAAATGACCAAGAATTTGTCAGGACCAGCATAGACAGGGTCGGCTGTTTAACTGCAGCTATGTAGAATGGGTTGTCGAAGGCTTTCAGGCCAGAATCACTGGGTTGCTGTGAGTTTTCCAGGCTGTATGGCCATGTTCCAGAAGCATTCTCTCCTGATGTTTCACCCACATCTATGGCAGGCATCCTCAGAGGTTATGAGGTCTGTTAGAAACTAGGCAAGTGAGGTTTATATACAGTGTTCCCTCACTTACTTCCAGGACCACCCGCGAAAAGTGAAAACCCACAAAGTAGAGATGCTATATATATATGTATTATCACATTCCGAGAGTGAGGGAAAAGTGAGGAGAGATTTAAAGGCACTGCACACTTTTTTTTTTTTTTTGCTAGCTATCTCTCCTTTGCTTTGCAATCTCTCTTGATTGGCTGCCTCTCTCCTGAGGGAGAAGGTGAAAAGGTGGGAGGCAAAAACCCACAAAACAGTGAGTCCGCGAAAAGTGAACCATGAAATAGTGAGGGAACATTTTATCTGTGGAATAATATCCAGGGTGGGAGAAAGAACTCTTGTCTGTTTGAAGCAAGTGTGTATGTTGCAATTCACCACCTTAATTGACATTTCATGGCTCTGCAGCTTCAATGCCTGGCTGGTTGCTGCCTGGGGAACTCCTTTGTTGGGAGGTGTTAGCTGTCCCTGCTTGATTCTTGACCAGAACTCCCCTGTGCTTTTTAAGTGCTTTTTTACTGTCCTGATTTTAAGAGTTTTTTAAATACTGGTAGCCAGATTTTGGTTATTTTCATGGTTTCCTCCTTTCTGTTGAAATTGTCCACATGCTTGTGGATTTCAATGGCTTCTCTATGTAGTATGACATGGTAGTTGTTAGGCTGGTCCAGCAGCTATGTAGTATTATAACTACAGTATGACCTTGCACCTGTTGAGGGATATGTTCCAAGACTCCGTGAATATGTGAAGAGAATGGCAACCCCTATATTTTGAGTGGCTTGGGCTAAAAGCATAGCATGGAATTATCCCGAAGGACCTAGGGAAGCCTACAAATACTTTTGGGGCATAATCTTGGATAAGTGACACTGTGGATATTGAATCTATTGATAAGGGAGTGATAATCTAGGTTTTTTTGACGTACTATTCTTGTGTTTTTCGGAAGGGAATGTGTGATCAAATTGCTTCTCAACTTTTGGGGAGGGGCAATGGTGGTGTGGGAGACTGCCATGGATTCTTCTACTTACAATTCTTTCAGGTATACTTTCCATTAAGAAGCAATTTTTTTGTTCTATTGTATTTTTATCTCACTTTAAGGGAAAATCTGAAATCAAAGGGCTGCCTTTTCCATAAAGAAGTAAAAGCAGAAGCTGGCTTTAGATTTAGATTCTCCCACCCAGGAAATTCTATAGATATAAGGTAAAATTAAGGTTTTCCCCTGACATGAAGTCCAGTTGTGTCCGACTCTGGGGTGTGGTGCTCATCTCCATTTCTAAGCCGAAGAGCCAGCATTGTCCGTAG